CCTTTTGGCTCGATTCCGGCTGATGTTGTTGAGCTTGCAAATCTCGAACCTGCTGCATAGTCAACTCCATCTCTGTTTTGATTTCAGCTCTAATTTCCCCGCGGTTTTTGGCTAACGCTTCCTGTAGTATTTGAGCCAATTGGTCTGGCGTGATTGCGAACGATTCTCTGGCTCGCCCAACACTGGATGTAGTATCGTCCGATGCAACAGCGGAACAAGTATCTGACAGTTCCTCTTCTGAAGATAACCCCTCGTGCATTCTTTTATAGTCTCGACGTCGGTTAGCTCTTCTTTGTAACCGTAACATTCTTTAAGAGAGGCCCCGCTCAACTCTCCCTCCCGGAGAGAAATCAGGGTCAGGGTTGACTAACCGTTGTTTCCCTTTGTTGGTCATATTAATAGTGACCTCAGGGAATTCATCTCGTCGAACTGTAGGTCTCTTCTTGTTGAAGCGTCTCACTTTGGGTCTTGACGCTTCAGTGGAAAGTCTTTGAAATACGGAAACTCTAGTTGAATTATTTTTAGAGCATCCGCATTCTGTCAGTACTGCTTTAATGAGCCTCTCGCAGGAGCAGTGAGACTCATTTTCTCGGACAACTCTTTTTCTTGAGTTATTGTTTTGATAGTACAGCTCATCATTATTATGATTTGAGCAACCTATCTTTTGTTTTTGAACCCTGTTAACATGCACAGGACAACTAGTCGTCGCCTCTGGGCGATCCAAGGTTAAATTTTTAATTCCACCCCTTTGCGGGCGTGGAGTATTCATAGGTCCTAAACGAGAGTGAACTGGTATTCTCTCGTTCTGGACCACTAAGGATGTTTACGACCCTCTGTATATGAAACCACTAAGGGTTTATTTGCTGGATCTGGTTGTTTCTTGACTGGGGCTTTGCCTCGATCGTCAACCGAAGGACCGAGGCGATCCGCCATTGTGATCTTAAATTTGGATAAGTCTGGGCTAACCCAGGGTTTCACTGGTGATGCAGTAGACGGGCCCGGAACGGATGTTTGTGGCGTCTTCGGTACCCAAACTTTACGGTTCTTTGGTGGCTTTTCAGACACCATGTCCTTCTTGATTCCTTGTTTTTGTTGACGAAGAGCGCGGGCGCGGGCGGCCTTCACCTGACGCCTTTGTTCCTTCTTGATTCCTTGTTTTTGTTGACGAAGAGCGCGGGCGCGGGCGGCCTTCACCTGACGCCTTTGTATTCGTTCCTTAAGGGTTGAACGAGCCCTTTTGACGAGGGTCCACTCCTCCGTCGTAAGCTGTGCAGAAATATGATTATTTTTCCGTTGAGGCAACTGAGTCATTTTCTGTTTCCTCGACTCTAGGTCCGCATAGTAATGGACCCTGTCGGTTTGTTGTAAGGCTTTAGCCAATTGACGAGCACGGCGCTGGCGCTGTCTCTGACGAGCCCTCTTCGTCAGCACCGGTGAGCTATTTATCAGTGACTCCTTAATGAATGTGGAGTCGTTTGGAGCAGGGATGTCGCAGGCGGATTCCTTAGCAGCAGTCGGGTAGGAACTTTCACCTGCGGCCTTCATAGGCATTGCAGACTTGAAATTTTTTTTGGAAGATGAAATCTTCCTGCACTTGCGGGGTGAGGAATATTTTGAGGATGAGGCGATCTCTTCATTGACAACGATCTTGATCGGTTGCGACACCGCGACCTCGGCAGCGAGGCCGCTGGCTCCCACTGTGGTCGCCAGTTTGTTTTCAGCAAAAGTTGCTTCCATTGATAATTCTATTAAACTTCGGTCGTTTACAACGAATTACAATGAAAAAATGAGAAAATTACAACTTTTGAGAAAATAACACAGAAGTCGTTTATCGAATCCTATTTTGTGGGACTTTGCCTGTGTCGTGAGCGCTTTGACTCGTGGACCGCCGAATCACAGATCGTGAAGGGGGCTTTATGATTCTTCCTTCGTTAAAATCGTCTATCGATTCTTGTTTTTGTGGGACTTTGCCTGTGCCGGGAACGCTTTGGTTCGTGGACCGTCGAATCACAGATCGTGAAGGGGGGCTTTATAACTCTTCCTTCGTTTATCGAAGTGAGAATTTGAAACAATATCTTATCAAAGTAAGATAGTCGTTCTTCTTGAAATCAAGTCAAAGCTCGAATCTCAAGAGAATCCAAGAACAATAGTGTCTGCTCTCTCTGCTCTAAATTGCTCAATAATGTGCTCTCCCCTCGTCAGAAATGACCCTAGGGGGGTATTTATAGCCTCTGGGGTCTGTAGCTGCAAAAACTCAACAAAACAACAACGTTAGGCCGCGAGACAGTGTTTACTGTCTCGGCGGGCCGCGAGACAGTAAATGCTGTCTCGGAAAAAAAATATTCCTGGCAGTTTTTGTTTTAACTGCCTTCTCACGTTTCAAACTCCATTATTTTGGCAGTTATTCACGTGATTTTCGCCCACGATGTTTTTCACGTCCCTTGGCAGTTAATGGACACGTGGGTGGGAGTTATTTAAGGTGGTTTTGGTCGTTTCAACACTGTCTCGCTGGCGAGATAGTAAACATTGTCTCGCTTGCGAGACAGTAAACACTATCTCGCTGCGAGACAGTAAAGACTGTCTCGCTGGCGAGACAGTAAAGACTGTCTCACCTGCGAGACAGTTCATATCTGTCAGACGGTAAACTCTGTCTCGCTGGCGAGACAGTAAACACTGTCTCACTGGCGAGACAGTTTATATCTGTCAGTTTTGAGTAATTTTCTCTATGTTTGGATATCTATTAGCATTTTTTGACGCCTACAGTGCCGGACATACTCATAGTGGGGGAGGCACAAGTTGATAACGACCTTTGGTACCTTGACAATGGAGCTAGCAACCACATGATCGGTCACCGAGGCAAGTTCAAGGAACTCGATGAGAAGATCACCGAAACAGTTAAGTTTGGTGATGGATCCGCGGTGAAGATCAAGGGGAAAGGCTCTATCCTCTTCCAGTGCAAAAATGACGATCAAAGGGTACTACCTGAGGTATATTATATTTTGAGTTTGAAATCTAATATCATTAGCCTTGGTCAGATGACTGAAGATGGGAGTAAAGTTGTTCTTGCTGATGAGTTCTTGAGGGTGTTTGATAGGAACGGTACACTCTTGATGAGGGTGACACGTTCAGCTAACCGACTGTACATGATAGAGTTGAAGACATGCAGGCCGGTGTGTTTTACGGCAAACATCGATGATCCAGCTTGGTTGTGGCATGGTCGTCTTGGGCATGTCAATTTCTTCACCCTCAAAATGATGACCGATAAGAGGATGATTGTCGGGTTGCCAAAGATATCACACCCGAACCAAATATGCGGGGGGTGCCTCATCACCAAGCAAACAATACTTCTGTTCCCTTCGCAAGCAAATTTTAGAGCTCAGAAGCCACTGGAGTTATTACATGCCGATCTATGTGGCCCGATCACCCCATCTACACTTGCTGTTAACAAATATTTTGTCCATGTTGATGATTTTAGCCGGTGGATGTGGGTGTCCATGTTGAAGGCCAAGAGTCAAGCCTGTGAAGCCTTCAAGAAGTTTATGACTAAGGTGGAGAATGCATGTGGCCACAAGGTGAAGACCCTGAGAATAGATCGAGGTGGCGAGTTCTTGTCAAAGGAGTTCACCCAGCTATGTGAAGACTACGGCATCAAGCGTCATCTCACTGCACCGTACACCCCATGGCAAAATGGTGTAGTGGAGAGGCGTAACCGCACGGTGATGGCCACGGCAAGGAGCTTACTCAAGAGTATGCATATGCAAGGAATGATGTGGGGCGAAGCAGTCAGGCATGCGGTGTACTTGCTCAACCGACTACCAACCAAAGCGTTGTGTGATCTCACACCTTACGAAACTTGGTTTGGTAAGAAACCTCGTCTAGAACACTTGAGAATATTTGGGTGTGTGGCACATGTGAAGGTTGTAGGAGTTCATCACAAGAAACTTGACGACCGGAGCACGCCAATGGTATATATTGGCATAGAAGAAGGGAGCAAAGCACATCGCCTCTATGATCCTCAACACGGCAAAGTTCATGTCAGCAGGGATGTTGCGTTCGAGGAAGGAAAAGAATAGGAGTGGAGCGCAGACGAAGATGAAAGACCACCCAACTGGGTGGAGTTCATGGCAGAAGAGGAATCAGTAACAGCCGACCAAACTGAACAACCAGCCGGCCAAACCAACCGTCGGCCTAGGTGCAGATGCTAAGGCAGTGAGTCCCGCTACATCGGAGGCGTTCGGAACATCGGGCACTTCTATCTCTCAAGATTAACCTGTGCGCTACCGTTTCCTAGCAGATATCTATGCAGAGACAGAGGTGGTTAACCTTCCCACAGAGGAACTGTTTCTAGCCACTGAAGAACCCACGAGCTATCGTGAGGCTACAACAGAGCATGAATGGCGGACAGCCATGGAAAAGGAGATGGAGGCAATCGAGAAGAATAAGACTTGGGTACTCACGGAGCTACCGTGGGGCTTCAAACCCATTGGCCTCAAATGGGTGTACAAGCTGAAGAAGGACAGCGAGGGCAACATCCTCAAGCATAAGGAGAGACTTGTAGCGAAGGGCTACGTTCAACAGCATAGCGTGGACTTCGATGAGGTGTTTGCACCTGTGGCGAGACTTGATACCATCAGGATGATCCTTGCTATATCAGCATAGCGCGGATGGGAGGTACACCATCTGGATGTCAAGTCGGCATTTCTAAATGGTGATCTCCAGGAAGAAGTGTACGTGGACCAGCCTGAAGGGTTCGCTATGAAGAATGAAGAGCACAAGGTCTACAAGCTTTCCAAGGCGCTCTACGATCTACGCCAAGCACCACGGCATAGAACATGCGGCTTGACAAATGCTTGAAGGGCATCGAGTTTATTAGGTGCTCTCAGGAGCAGGCGGTATACACTAGGAGCAACGGAAGGGATGTACTCATTGTTGGTGTGTACGTGGACGACTTGATCGTCACGGGCTCGAGTGCGGATGTGATCAGTTTTTTTAAGCTGTAGATGATGAAGGAGTTCGAGATGAGCGACCTTAGGCTACTTTCCTACTATCTTGGTATTGAGGTGGACCAGAGAGGTGATTGCATTTCGCTAAGGCAGGCAGCCTATGTGAAGAAGGTCTTGGTTCAGTTCGAAAAGATGGATTGCAACCCGATCCAGTATCCCATGGAGGCAAAGCTAAAGTTTGGAAAGGATCCTGAAGGAAAACTGGTGGACGTGACAAAGTATAGGTGCGTCATTGGATGCTTGAGGTATATAACTCACACCCGACCTGATATCTCTTATGACGTAGGAATTATGAGTAGGTACATGGAGCAGCCTATAGTTGTGCATCGTTAGGCGATCAAGCACATTCTGAGGTACGTAAAGGGAACCATGTCCTACGAATTAGTGTACAGATGGAGTCAATGCAATGAAGAGATGGTGGGATTCACTGACAGTGATCTTACGGGAGATGTAGATGACAGACGCAGCACAGGCGGCATGGCATTCTATCTAGGTGACAGTCTGGTCACTTGGACATCACAGAAGCAGAAGACGGTGGCATTATCCTCTTGTGAGGCTGAGTTCATGGCGGCAACAGCTGCAGCATGCTAAGGTCTGTGGCTGAGGAGATTAGTCAGCGAGGTGACCGACAGTGAGTCTAAGCCGGTTACTCTCTTCGTTGACAACAAGTCCGCGATTGCCTTGATGAAGAATCCAGTATTCCATGGAAGAAGCAATCACATTGACACACGTTTCCATTTCATTCGTGAGTGTGTTGAACGAGGGCAGATTAAAGTGGAGTTCGTGATCACGAGCAAGCAGCGGGCGGACATTCTCACGAAGGCACTAGCAAGGGTGAAGTTCATCAAAATGCGTGAGCTGCTAGGAGTAAGGAACTTAGACTCTCGTCCAGATTAAGGGGGAGAATGTGAGATAGTTAATCTGTCCTACCCATTAAGGGGAGTGTTCCTACTTTGTAGGAGTCCATGTTAGTGGAAAATGTTAGTGGAAGAAGTTAGAAGTTAGTGGATAGTGGAGAAGTTAGAAGTTAGTGGATAGTGGAAGAAGTTAGAAGTTAGTGAATAATGTTAGTGGAAGAAGTTAGAAGTTAGTGGACAATGTTAGTGGTATGATCTTATATATATGTAAGCAATCATGTAACTTTGTAAAAAAAAAGAAGAAGAAGGAAAAACTCCCTACTCAAAAAATTCGGCCAACTCTCTATCTCTGTCGTTTATTTCGTGACAAATCTCGGTAGGTGCTTAGGCCGATCCCAATTCAAAGCCATCAAAGGAAACAATGCGTGCAAGAGAACATGAACTCATCCTCCTCCTCCAACAGATTGAACCCCCGCATTCTACTGCATGTTTATAAGGATGTTCTACATAGCAAGGGTTACAATGATCATTTTCAACTTCCAATAAAATATGCAAGTAAAACAATAAGTACATGCATCATGAACTGGACTAAAACTTGAAACTGAATAGAGAGCAAGGGCGTAAAGACTCAGTTCAATAAATATGCAAGAGACTTTCATAAATAAATGTAGGAAAAAATTCAAATAAAATTATAGCATGTAAAATAAATCCGAAATAAAATAATAAGAAAGTCTGGCCTGATCGAAAATAGTCATGTAAACACTACCCGAGAAGATTAAGGACCCGCCTATCGCCCTGACGCATATGATCCTCTCTCCCCTAGCGGGGAAAACCCCAGAAACGGCCGGCCTTTGTACTTAGACGAGAGAATAAAGCTTCAGCTCCGACGAAGAACGGTTGCCTAAAAATAACACCAACATATGAACGAAAATAATATGCAAAGGAGAGAAGAGGAAAAAGAGATAATTGTTTCTATATCTTTTCCGAAAGTGAATTAGGGGTATATATATAGGGTTGAGAAAACCATTATAATTCATATAATTAATACGGTAACATTCGTAGTCTATGTATGAAGATGTAACTGCATAGGGTTAGAATTTGCCCTTAATATCTGAACATTTCAAACTAATGTGAAACTAAAATACTGCACTTATATCTTTACATACATGCATATGCACATACATGAATGAAATTACTAATAGTTACATGCAAAACATTCAAGAGAACCTTATAATATAATTTTATATTTTAAAGTATATTTCATACTTCATATGCATAAATTTTAAATTCTTGTATTATAAGAGGTTACAAATTTGTTGCCTATAAAGTAGACATTCTAAATTTAAATTGGTTGCCTATAAAAGAGATATTCCAAATTTAAATTGGTTGCCTATAAAAGAGACTTTCCAAATTTAAATTTATGCATATGAATTATTCTCATAATTATGGTCCTCTTATTCATACTTGAATATAAAATGTTTCATATAGAATTATAACAATTATAAAATAAATATAATCACATATGCATATGACGTATAAGCCCTATTTATATGGAAAACCTCATATCGAATGATTTGTAATAAATTAATAATATTACATATGATTGTAAAACAAAAGCTAGAAATAAAAATATTTTTGTCAATACCACTAGACCAGAAACTTAACTAGATCAGCTCCTAACTAAAAACTCCTAAAGTGAAAGGATCAAAGTTTTACCCGAGTAGTTTAGCCAGGTAAGGATAGTACTAGAAGAAGATCAAAGATCAATTAAGTACCTCGTTACTTACGGAGCGTGTTATGCAACTCCTAAATCTTACCTTAGACACCAACTAATCTAAAAAACTTAAACCAGTTCACATAATGATTTTTAGTTCCTTAACTATATGTGTGAATAGTGACTATTAACAATAAATACGTAAACAGTAACTATAAAAACAGTATTAGTAACTGTGAACAGTAAATGCGTGAATAATACTGGTGAATAGTGGTTTGCAGTTTTGAACAGTACTTACACTTTTACTATCTATATATGGCACTATAATTTGCTACAATAACTATCATAAAAACTTAATTGCTACAGTGACATTATTTAATTATAATTAATTATGGCAATTAAAATAAAGCAAGAAAACAATTACAAAAGCCATATTTTCCTAGAATGAACAGTAATTGCATTTTTATGAATAAGGAAAATAATTGTCTGATAAACAGTGCTCTATATAAAATAGTAATCATAATTTTTTTTAAAATAAACAGTAACCAAAACTATTTTTTAAAATAAAAAATAACGGTTTTAATATAAAATGAACAGTAACCAAAAGTATTTTTTAAAATGAGCGATAACGGTTTTAATATAAAATGAATAGTAACTAAACTGTTTTTTAAATAGTAACATTGTTAACAGAAATTAAAATGGGTGAATAGAAACTATGAACAGTAATTTTTTCAATAATAATTTTGGATTTAAAATAATAGCTATAAACTCCTCAATCTTCTAGATTGTTGGAAAAAAATAAATACGTAAACAGTAACTATAAAAACAGTATTAGTAACTATGAACAGTAAATGCGTGAATAATACTGCTGAATAGTGGTTTGCATTTTTGAACAGTACTTACACTTTTACTATCTATATATGGCACTATAATTTGCTACAATAACTATCATAAAAACTTAATTGCTACAGTGACATTATTTAATTATAATTAATTATGGCAATTAAAATAAAGCAAGAAAACAGTTACAAAAGACATATTTTCCTAGAATGAACAGTAATTGCATTTTTATGAATAAGTAAAATAATTATCTGATAAACAGTGCTCTATATAAAACAGTAATCATAATTTTTTTTAAAATAAATAGTAAACAAAACTATTTTTTAAAATAAAAAATAACGGTTTTAATATAAAATGAACAGTAACCAAAACTATTTTTTAAAATGAGCAGTAACGGTTTTAATATAAACTGAATAGTAACTAAAACTGTTTTTTAAACAGTAACATTGTTAACAGAAATTAAAATGGGTGAATAGAAACTATGAACAGTAATTTTTTAATAATAATTTTGGATTTAAAACAATAGCTATAAACTCCTCAATCTTCTAGATTGTTGGAAAAAATTCAAATAAAATTATAGCATATAAAATAAATCCAAAATAAAATAAAAAGAATGCATGTCTGGCGTGATCGGGAACAGTCGTGTAAACACTACCCTAGAAGATTGAGAACTCGCCTATCGCCCTGACACATATAATCCTTTCTCCTCTAGCGAGAAAAACCCCGAAAGCGGCCGACAATCTACTAGGGCGAGAGAACAGAGTTTCAGCTCAGATGAAGAACGGTTGCCCAAAAAAACACCAACATATGAACGAAAATAATATGCAGAGGAGAGAAGAGGAAAAAAAGAGAATTGTTTCTATATCTTTTCCGAAAGTGAATAAGGGGTGTATATATAGGGTTGAGAAAGTCATTATAATTCCTACAATTAATACGGTAAACTTCGTCATAAATTTTCATAACGTTCTCCATAATGTATAGTCGTTACGCACATTTTAATTGTATTTATAATACTATTCTATGTGGGACTATTCATGAAAATAAAATTGCCTTTTCTCCAACAAAATATCCAACAATAAAAATATAAGAAACAACCAGTTAAAAAGAAAATAGTGGAAGACAAACTCACCTTATAATCAAAGTTGAACATTCCTTGAGAGTAATGGGGTTCGTTGGTAAGCTAGCAGGATTTTGCAACAAACATCACTTGGAAAACGTCAATATCAACTAAATAGAAATATAGAATGAACAATTACCTTATGATATAGAGACATTATTAGCTTACAAAGTTAAGATTTACATGTGCATTAACTTTCATGGTAAATTTATCAGTTAAATCAGTCATCATCCTCCTTTTAAGCATCAGCTCTAGAAATACAATGAATGAGTTTTTTTTACCTAGTTGCTACAGGGGAATTTTGAAGAACGTATATACCAAGATAAATCAAGCAGAGAATCATGTAGCCGGAAAGAATTTACACAGATTGGCACTAACCTTTGGATCAAGAAAATTCGCTCCGAATTCATAATGTGAAGTAGGAACCTTAACAGTTTCAGAAGATTGAGACGGAAGTTCCATCATCCCATAAAGACACTGATTATGATTATATAAACAATTTTAAAGTCAAAACTTACAAAACACTACAATGTTAAAGCCAAATCTTCCAAGAAATCATAATCATTCAATACACTAACACTTGAAAAATTCATAATCATTCAATAATTAAATACTAAATTACCTGTGACTCAGTGAAAACTTTTGGTTCAAACCTTTTGTAAAGTCAAAACGTAATCCTTCAAAAAACTCGGGTTTCAGAGACACTGCAAGAAACTTGGTAAAAACAAAGTCAGTAAACCTGAAATAGCCAAGTTCCTTTAACTAAAATTTGAACATGCACTTCTTTTCATTCTTAATCCTTCAGTACAGTTCTAGTTTACCAATGATTATTCATATCCGTTAACTTCCAATAAACAAAGAAAAAACAACTTTTTTCAAGTACATAATTTACATATACATCAGTAAATTCATAAAAAGTGAAAGCTTTCTTTTTCTCTAATAAACCAAGAGAGGCATTTACATCAAGAAGTTTCCTGGCGAATCGATTGTTGCTGACGTCGAGCTCGAAGAAGAGCTTCAATCGATCGAACTTGTGGGGGACTTGTCGTAGAATCGATTCAAGTTGATATGAATAGCGCGAGATAGGAGAGGAGGAAGAGCTCGGCGTAGTTGAGGTCAATTCCGACAATGGCGGTGACATTAGGGTTTGACGGCGACGTATCGGAGACACTAGCTTGTTAATTTCCAAGCCTGGCGAGCAATGTAGGCTCTACGGAGGTTAGGGTTTGGGAACAAGAAGGTGGGCTCCACAGAGACGGACTCGCCGTGGACTGCTTTTGAAGCATCGTGATGTAGTAGACGAATTGGTGACGGTGGAGGCGGAGGCGTCGACGGTGGAGGGCGGAGCGTCGACGGCGCAAGGCGGAGCGCTCTGCGAGCGGCAGAGGGTGGAGGCGTCGTGGAGTTCGTTCGGTCGGCGCGAAGAGGCGCAGTGGGTGGAGAAGGGATTGGCAGGGTTAGGCTTTGAGATCGAGAGGGAGAAGAGTAGGAGGATAAAGATTCCTGAAAGTTTTGAATTTGGGGCAAATTTTGAGTGTTTTATTTTTCTTTTTGTGGGTCCAATCTTCCTAGACGGAAAGTTCTGTCTAGGATACTTCCTCAACGGAACTTTCCGTCTAGAAAGATTGGACCCATGTTTTTAAAAAAAAATAGCTAAAACTTTTCCGTCATGGAGACTTCCTAGACTGAAATTTCCGTCTAGGATGAATCATCTTAGGAGGAATATCGTAGATAGACGTTTTCCGTCGATATTGTCATCATCCTAGACGGAAAAATTTCTATCTAGGATGCTAAGCTTTTTACTAGTGTAGGAATAGGACATCTCAGTACCAAGCATAAAATTTGTATTTGGTATCAAACATATCCATTTTTTTCTTTCTCTCTTTCTATATATATATATCTATTCCTCTATAAAAATAGGAGGATCCAAGCTTTACTATTCCTGCTACAGTAAATCACTATAGTATTGTTACTGTAGTAAAGACAGAAGGATCCAAGATTTCCTATTCATGCAACAGTAAATACTGTAGTATTATTACTACAGCACAGGTGGGAACTGTAGCGCAAAAAAATTTACTGTAACATTATTACTGTAGCTCAGGCGTGATAATGCAACATTTAAAAAATTATTACTGTAATACTTAAAAAAGTTGTATTTAAATACATAATTATTGTAGCGGAAATAAAAAAATAAAAGTCATGTTTTGCACACTATATATATGTATAGGAAAATGATAGGGGCACACCCTCAAGCACAACTCCAACCACACCCTTTCGTTTTTTTGTTTTTTTGGTAAATGAAAATTTTTATTCATCACCAATATGTAAAATTTGTACATCAAGAATAACCTCACATATGTGAGTTAACAACAAAAATATAGCAAAACTATATACAAGCCTCCTCAAAAGAAGAGAAGGAAAACTGAAGATAAAACGTGCACAGGTTTCGTGCACATCCAGGCCTCAAAAACTCAGGAGCAGCAGTAGAGAGAAGCCAAGAAACACTTGTACTCCTCATTTCAACCTTCAATTGGAGCCTCCACATCAAAACAAGACCTCAGCAAAAGGCAGGATCCTATTCCACAGGGGATTATACATGCACTGGTTTAGACGTGCACATCCAGGTCCCAAAAAACTCAAAAGCTGCATTTGATAGAAGTCAAGACACACTTGTACTCCTCACTTCAACTGAAGCCTCCGCATCAAAACAAAGCCTCAACATAAAACAGGATCTTAATTTCCACAGGGGATTATAGTGCTAACATCAGATCCTTGTGTTCTTTCAAGAGCTCACTATTAAGGATGCTGGACAGGATATCAATTTTGATTTCCCTAATCAACCGATCAGCACCCTTGCAAACTTGAGTGAAAATTCTAACATTTCTTTCCCTCCAAATACTGTAAACAGTAGCCGCCAAAGCCATTCTCTTGATTTTATTTTTGAAAACACTCCCTCTCAACCTGATATTATACCAGTCCAGGAGTAAGTTCCAGTCACACGACCTCCAATTAAACCTTAGCCAGTCCATAATACCATTCCAAACTTCACTTGAGAAGCAACAAGCAAAGAAAAGGTGATTTCTAGTTTCTGTGGCATTTACAGAACATAGGATGCAACAATTGCAGTTGATAATCCCCCTGCCCAGAAGCTTATCCTGTGTAAGTAATCTGTCAAGGACAGCTAGCCACAACACAAAACTGTGCTTAGGAAAGCTAATTCCTTCCCAAACAGTTTCCTTCCACACTACCTTAGCTGTAATAGGAAGCAGGGCATGATATAGAGCAGAAATTTTCAACTTATAACTCTTTATACAAGAGCTAAAGAGATGAAGAAGACCTGAAACTCCACCACACATATTCAGCACATTATCTCTAATTCTGAGGATTTGTTTCCACATCCAAGAGTCACCAACTTTAGCCTCAACCTGCCAAATATTCCTATGTTTCAGATAAGTGCCATGAATCCACTTAATCCAAAGGAGCTCCTTGTTTGAATGAATAAACCATATGATCTTAAGGGCAGATGCAGTGTTCCATGTGACTGCTGAAAAGATTCCTAACCCTCCTTGATCCTTACTTCTACAGATAGCATCCCAAGAGACAAGAGAAGGTTTATTTGTATCAGCTTTTCCCCATAGAAAATCTCTACACAGTTTGTCAATTCCATAAAGAACTTTCTTAGGTAGGATATAACTTGAAGTCCAAAATAATTGAACCCCAAGGATGACACTTTTAATAATCTGGAGTCTCCCCGCATAGGATAAATGCCTATGAGATAGCCAATTTTGAAACTGACTGGAAATTTTGTAAAAAAGAGGTCTGCAGTCATCAAATGATAACCTCTTGCATACAAGCGGTACTCCCAAATATCTGATAGGGAGGTTGCCTTCAGAATAGCCTAAGCAATTTTGAATAGAATCCTTGATAGAATCATCAACACCACCATAAAATACAGCACTTTTGCTGGGATTTACATCCAGACCAGTTACTGTACTGAAATGAGAGATACACTGCTTGAGCTTTTGCACTGAGTACAGATCCCCTTTGCTAAACAGCAGTAAGTCATCGGCAAAGATGAGATGGGTAATTTTTAGTTTGCCACATTTAGGATGGAATTTAAAATTCCTGTCAAGTTTCAAAAGATCAAGGCTCCTAGATAGGTATTCCATACCCAAGATGAACAAGTAAGGGGATAGTGGATCACCTTGCCGCAGCCCTCTTTCCCCTTTAAAATAGCCATGTAGAGAGCCATTTAGAGAGAGAGAGAGTATTTGGGAGTAGAAATACAAGACATAATCCAATTAGTCAGCATATTTGGAAACCCCAGACCAGAGAGCATTTCAGCTATAAACTTCCAACTAATGGTGTCAAAGGCTTTTCTGATGTCCATATTAATCATAATCCTTGGAGATATATGCTTCCTGCCATAGTTCTTTACAAGTTCATGAGCCAGAAGGATGTTATTTGATATCAGTCTACCTTTCACAAATGCACACTGAGCATCATTTATTATATAACCCATAACAGATTAGATTCTGTTTGCAAGAATTTTAGAGATAACCTTGTATATGCAGTTGCAACAGGATATAGGCCTGAAATCAGATGAGTAAGTTGGACATTGGACCTTAGGAACAAGAGTAATGGATGTAGTGTTGATTTCACCCAAAAGTTTTCCTGTTTTAAAAAATTCCTCAATGGCTAAAGATACCTCATCTCCAATAATTGGCCAAGCAGATTTATAGAAAGAAGCACTGAAACCATCAGGGCCAGGGGCCTTGTTATCTGCCATAGAGAAAACAGCACTTTTGATTTCATCCCTAGAAACAAGAGCTGAAAGAGAACTGGCATGCTGGCTATTTAAACAGGGACCATTCTTGATGATATCTCTGTCAGGAGTGTCAGTACTGATTGCAGTCCCCAGAAGGTTTTTATAATAGGAAATCAGTTCCTTTGCAATTGCCTCAGTGTCAGTGATTCTAGTATCAGATTCATCATGTAAGACTAAAATTCTGTTGTGATGCCTGTTTGACTTAATGATTGAGTGAAAAAGCTTAGTACATCTATCCCCTTGAATATTCCATGCAATTCTAGCCTTTTGCTTGTAGTATGATATTTCACATTCAGAGAGATAGTTAAAAGAAATCAAACATTTCTTTTCTTGATCAATGAGATCAGCATTTAAAGGATCCTTCTGTAAATTCCTTTGGATGTTCTCTAATGAATTCCTTGCCCTAGAAACCTGTTCACTAATATTATAGTAATGTTTCTTGTTGAGTTCCTTCAATGCCTTCTTCAGCAGCTTGAGCTTAGAACAGACTGAGTACATAGCATGTCCTTGAATAGAGGATTTCCAGATAGAAGAAACAATAGGAAGAAAGCTGGGATGTTTGGTCCACATCTTAAAAAACTTAAAAGGCTTCCTTCCATGAGATTTATCCTCATATAATGAGATAAGAGCAGGAGAGTGGTCAGAGAAACTAGGGACTAAAAATTCAGCATGACAAGAATTGTACCTGAGTAACCAAGCTTCATTGATAAGTGCTCTGTCCAATCTACTCCAAATCCTAGTGCTTTGGTCTTGCTTATTACTCCAGGTATAGAAAGAACCCAAGGTTTTCATATGAGAGAGGTGGCAGCTATCAATAAAAGACTTAAAGTCTAGAAATTCAGTATCAGATAGAGCAGCTCCACCCAACTTTTCCTCATTACTAATCAGAGCATTGAAGTCCCCACATAGCATCCAAGGAACTTGGCCAAGATTATTACATATCTGACTTAAACTCAACCACAGACTTTTCCTAGCTTCAGCTTGATTATAACCATAGACTGAAGTTATAAAACAATCTAATCTCCCATCAATGAATTTAGCATAACAAGTTATTTGTTGAGGGGAATAGTGAACAATATTAATGTCAAGAACATTGGGATCCCATAAGAGAAAGATTCTTGTCTTTTCAGTATTACTCCCATTTGCATGCCACTGCCAATGATTTACAAGCTTCTTTGAAATATCAGGTAAATTACTCACCTTTAATTTTGTTTCAAGCAGAGCAAGGAAGGAAAGATGATATTGAGATATAAACTGCTTAACCAACTTCTGTTTAAGGGGTTTATTCAAACCCCTTACATTCCAAAATGATAGGTTCATTTGTGCAAGCCCCCTCTGTCCACTGAAGAGGGATTAATTCCACTTGTGATATTTATCAGAGGGGAGAAAGTATTTTCAAAGTTAATTTTGTTTTGAACTATCCAGGGGCTTTTAGCTTGTAATATACCAGGCTTAGATAGATGTGCATGATTGGAATTACCAGCCTGATTTATTTGCTCTTTTCCAAATATGCTCACCCAGGGGTTTTCAGCTTGTGATGCATTAACCTCCCAGAATGGTTGAGAATTACCTGAATCTGAAACGTGCACAACATGCACAGGTTCAACAGTTGTCTCACCAGAACTTCCAGATAAAGGATCAACATCCCCAATAACAGGAACATGTACAGCTTGTGCAGTTTGCTGAACTACATCCCCAGGGGAAATCATAATAGATTTACCTTTATCCAGGTTAGCACCAATTCCTTGAATATTAGCCTGCCCAGATTTTTCCTCCAGAACCAAGTTAGTATTATTTCCAGATATATCATTTCTTAACTTAGGGATCCATTTTTGTGCTTTAGCTTTTCTCCAACAATGTAATACATCATGCCCCACTTGCTTACACCTTAGGGATCCATTTTTGTGCTTTAGCTTTTCTCCAACAATGTAATACATCATGCCCCACTTGCTTACACTGGTCACACCATCTTGGTTTCATTTCGTTTTCTCCAACAATGTAATACATCATGCCCCACTTGCTTACACTGGTCACACCATCTTGGTTTCATTTCGTAAATAACCCTTTGCTGGTAATTCTTGCCATTTGGACCTTGGATTTGTATCTGATCAGGAAGAGTGGCAGGTAAATCAACTTCAATTAAGACTCTAGCGTAGGCTAGTCTTTGTCTATTTGCAGTAAGTTTATCAGTAGTGATAGGCCTACCAATAAGACTGGAGATTTTACTTATACATTTAGCATTCCATAGATTAAGCCTAAGTGCAGGAAGTTGTATCCACATAGGATAGGTGCATGAATTAACCTTATCAACTTCATCTCCATTGTTCCAAGGTCTAAGCAAAAAAGGTCTAGATCCAAAAAACCAAGGGCCACTGGCAAGAATATCATTCATATCATCTTTATTCCTGAATTTGAATAGGAATAGCCCAGCCTTGAGTAAACAGATTTCAAGCATAGCTTTATTTATCCAAACCTTTTGAATAAAATTCTCCATAGCCTTGAATCTAACATTCAGCCCTAGAACTTGGCCAACAAGAGAACATTCCCAAATAGAACATTCTTCCTTCCATTCATCATCATTAAAACACACAGCATCCTTAGTGATAGGTGGCAAGAACTCTAAGCTTAATCCACTTCCAGATTTCCTATTGTCAGCAAACAAATTCACCCAGCTTTTCTTGTTTTTGTCCTGAATCTTTTCATCAGATGCAGAATCAAGATTACTAGGGACAGGAACATCATTAGTCTTAGCAGAATTCTCCTTAATAACAGAAATCAAAGAATCATTGAGTTTATTTGAAGATATATCAGAGGCCTTCTTCTTTGTCTCAGTAGCAGGATCAGAAACAATAGGATTCTTGTCGCTGCTAATCTTATCATCAGATACCAAAGAAGCATTAATTTGATCAGAGATCAGATTAGAATTCAAATCACCTAAACATTTTCTCTGAACAGAACTTAGAGAGCTCTCCAGATCAACTTCCTCCGCCCAGGAAAGATTAGCAGAACCACTTTGAGAAAGAAGCAGAGGTTTGAAACCAGATCTAGGAGGATCATTCAATGGAGTAGAAGCTTCAAGAATTTCACTCATAGACTTCTTCTTCTTCTCGCCCTTAGGACCAGTAGATCCCATTTCAATTGGAACCAAAACTTCATCAAACTCAACAAAATCATCATCAAAATGATCAGGAGGAGCAGACGAACTTGGATTCGAAGCTCGAAGACCGATTGAAAGTAATTTTTTCCCGCTAATCTTCTTTTTCTTTGCCATTTAGATCTCAGCAGTAGGCGCAAGTTAGAAAGAGAAATCGCATTCTATCCTGCGCCTAACTGCTCCCGCCTAAAGTTTCTTTTTCCAACCACACCCTTTCGTTTTTTTGTTACAGTGCACCGGACCCCACATGTGATTTTAAAATTTTAAAATCTCATATGAGGCCTGGTAGCAAAAAAGAAAGAGGGGGTGGTTGGAGTTATGGTTGTGGGTGCCCTTAGTTCCACTCATATGTATATAACCCTATTAACCAGTCGAGCATTTTATAAAGTTTTTCAGTCAAGTCACGGGCTGACGAAAAGTACAGCGGAGAAAGGTACAGATTTCAACATCATGCTCATGGCAATCACGTTTTACACCTACGTCCAGTCCTCCCTCGCGCTCTCACGCTCCTCTCACATGCACGCACGCGGCTCATGCACGCAAGTACAGGGAGACATGTCGTACTGCTTGCGGCCTCACTGCTCTTGGATCTAGCACCACCAAATCTTTTGTCCCAATACCATAAATTAATTAACCAATAAGATTCACTAACTAACTGTAGAGTGAGAATAATTAATGGGAAGGCGACCGACATTAGAGTCATCACATCGCCATCTAAATCTGATTGAAAGTATAAGCAATTGCACCTAGACGGTATCAATGAATCTGAAATTATTTTGCCTAACGTGGGTTTATGAGACTCCAGCAGGTGGGGACACCTTTGTGGACAAGTGTCAGGCGGAAAAGATTACCATCAAAAGGCCATGCAGAATCTTTTGTATTGGGACAGCCACTAAAGCGGGAGACAGAGAAAAGATAAAATGGAGAGGCAGGAGAGAGAGAGAGAGATGTGAGTGCAGATTATCAGTTAAGGGGCTGTTCGTTTCGCAAAAAAGAATGGGAAATCAAAGAATAGGAAACCTATTTCTTAAAATAATTGTTTTGAGGTTGTTTGGTTGGCTTAAAAAAGAAGGAAACTAAAGAATAGAAAATGATATGAGATGAGTTGTCACCTTATTATTGGATGATGTGAGTGATTTTTTTAAAAAAATTGTTTTGAGGTTGTTTGGTTGGTTAAAAAAATAAGGAAATGAATTGGAGATATATTATTGGATGATGTTTTGAGGTTGTTTGTGTTTGGTTCGTTTTTAAAAATAAGAAAATAGATAAGATGAGATGAGTTGGAGGTATATTATTGGATGATGTGACACATACTTAAGGAAATCAATTTCTTATTTTTTTTTAGGAAATGGATGGAAAGGAATGTTTAATGAGATGAGATGAGTTGTCACAATATTATTGGATGATGTGTGTGATTTTTAAAAATGAGATAAGATGAGATGTGATGAGTTGGATGATGTGACACATTTCTTGTGTTTGGTTTATTTTTAAAGGTAAGAAAGGAGATGAAATGAGATGAGTTGGATGATAAAAATATTATTTTATTAGATGTTGTGGGTGAGTTTTAGGGATGGAAATGGATAAAAATATTATTTTATTGGTTTCCTTGTACCGATTTCCTTTTCTTGCTTTTTAGGAAACCAACCAAACGGCCCCTAACGCAATAATGATTCACGTTTCATTCATGTGCACCACCATCTTCATCATTTATTACTTTTTAGGCGTCTTTGTGATCATCCGGTTTTGCAGACCTGGACGCCTTTGCTATCATGCTCACAGGCAGGCCATCAACCAGTGACTCATTTTTTGTTGAAAATAAACTTGATTAAACTATATATCTTGAAAACTCAAAAGAACATTTAGTTGTTTGAGGAGTCAAATAAATGAATATGTAGATGCATGAAATTATAAATGCATAAATGTTGTTTGGAAATTCAAGAGTCTTTGTTGGGAAATCTATGAGTTATAGTAGTAGTAGTATATATATGTGGTTTGTAATTTGAAATGAGTTAAGAAAAGAAAAAAAATTAAATAGAATAATTTTTTCCTCCTCTAAATTGTTTATCCTGGGTAAAATATTGTTATCAAATTGGTATCGGAGCTAAGATTAGTTCCAATGGAATAATCCCGTTTGTTGCTCCTAAACTCACCAAGAAAAATTATGAAAACTGGTGCATTCAAATGAATGCTCTATTAGGATCAATAGACTGTTAGGATATTGTGGTGAAAAACTTTGAAAAACCTGAAGATGAACGTGAGCTATCAGCAGGACAGAGTGAATCACTTAGAGAGTGCATTAAGAAAGATAGTAGAGCCCTCTACTTTATTTACCAAGGAGTTGATGAATCGGCATTTGAGAAGATCTCAGATACGACGACCTCAAAATAAGCTTGGGAGATACTTCAAAACTTCTATAAGGGAGTAGAAAAGGTGAAGAAGGTGTGACTCGAAACACTTCGAAAGGAGTTCGAAGATTTAGAGATGGAGGAAAGTGAACTAGTTTCTAACTATTCCACTAGAGTCATGGCCGTAGTGAATCAACTTCGAAAAAATAGTGAGAAGATCGAAGGCGTTTGTGTGGTGTAGAAAATTCTCTGATCACTTTCTCGGAAACTTGACTATATTATTTGTGCCATTGAGGAATCAAAAGACTTGGAGAAGATGACAATTGATGAACTCTTGGGTTCGTTAAATGACCATGAGAAAAGATTTAGCAGGAGAAATGAGCCAGTGGAGAAGGCTCTTCAAACTAAGCTTTCTTTGAAGGATGATCGAGAAAATTCAAAAGAAGGAAGTAACGACAGTCGTGGCCATAGAAGATTTCGAGGCAGAGGACGTGATTTCTATGGCAGAGAAAGTCACAATAACTGTGAAGAAAGAGATCAAAATCAAATATCTTTTAGAGACCGTGGACGTAGTAGATCTAATGGAGACCGATAGAAAACACGAGTTCAATGTTTTAAATACAAGAAATATGGTCATTATTCTTCTTATTGTTATCAAGTTGAAGAGAAGGTGAATTATGTTGAAAAAGGAGATGATGATAATATTCTTCTATTAGCATTCGGAGGAGATGGTGATAAGGAGGATGTTTGGTATCTTGATACTGGAGCCAGCAACCATACACGTGGCAAGAGAAGTATGTTTGTCGATATGGATGAGTCTATGAATAGCAAGGTTACTTTTGGAGATTTCTCAAAGATTTCAGTGAAAGAATGAGGTAAAATTCTTATTCACTTAAAAAATGGAGAAGAAAAATTTATCACTGATGTTTATTATGTGCCCAATATGAAAAGTAATATATTGAGTTTGGCAAAGCTCTTAGAAAAGGACTATGATTTTCATACAAAATATCACAGTCTCTTTCATCGAGATCAAAAATATAGATTGATTGTAAAAGTACAAATGTCGAAGAATCGAATGTTCATGCTAAACCTTCAAGGTGGAGATGTGAAATGTTTGAAAGCTTGTATCAACAATCTTGCTTGGCTATGGCACTTGAGATGACCAATGCACCCGCGATATTCATGGGTTTGGTAAATCGGGTTTTCTGTCCATATTTGGACCAGTTTGTGGTTGTTTTATCGATGAAATCCTTATCTGTTTGAGATTAGAGGTAGAGCACGAGTAGCATCTTCGTTTGGCATTACAAACTTTGCAGGAGTATCAGTTATACGTCAAGTTTCATAAATGCTAGTTTTTTGACTATCTGAGGTCAGATTTTTGGCCATGTTATCAGCAAGGAGGGCATTGTAGTGGATCCAGCTAAAGTGAAAGTAGTAC